GGTGTAAAGGGCAATCAAAGAGTTGGAGATTTTCGTTTTATAAATATTTTACTGTTTTTTTCTATTTATTATTATTATCTTTTTATCATTTTTTTCCTTACTTTTTTTACCCACGACATTTACCCACACCCACACCCACGACCCACACCCACGACCAACGACCTCTACCCACTACCCACGACCCACGACATTTAGGTACACTCGACAAAGAAATGTATCATGCCCTCTTCCCGTGAGAGACATAAAGGGATAATAGGGAGAGGGCATGATCTTAGGCTACATCTCGCCCGACTTTTTTGTATCGCCTAAAACCAGAGTCATGTCGCTACAAATTTTCATCAAGTCGACCGAAATTTAATACTGAAGAGTGTATGTAATATATCTTGTTCTTTAAGCGATGATAAATTTTTAGATTTTGGTTCATTACAATATTAATTTGATTTACCATTTTTACTCGATTAAACTTGACCAGCCCTCGATTCAGTCGATTGAAAGGCCGCAGGTAGAAGCAAACTTACAAATAACTGATCCCGTTCTCAAATAAACACCGTAGCCATTTTCGGGCACCCAAACAGAAGAATGCGGCGTTTAAAGGCGGATTATAATAAAAAACTCGGTACAACTCGGAAATCTACACCATCCAGACAATTACACACCCATCTGTAGCAGAGCCAGTGAAACCCAACCCAGTGGTTTAATTCAGTCTATAACCCAGTAATATTTTAGCCTCCCCGGTACCTGGTGAATAGTTTGTTTCTACCCGGCTAATTTTTTGCGTTCCCGGTAACTTTATATTGTGACCTCTACAAAACTAGTGTATTTCGTTATTCATATTTGTTTAAAAGAGGCAAAAATAAAGAAACATATTTAATTACCATTGACAAAAAAACATCGAAAGGTACCAGTAATAAATTCCGCATGAATTGTGTAAATCAATTTAAATTAGTTCTTCTCGCTAGAGCAATATATATAAGGTTTTCAAAAGTTTCGTACCGGTAAAGATGTTAGGCCTGCTACCCCTTTTAGTTTTTATGGAAGGTACACAACTAAGAAAAAAATTCAGTGGAAAATAAGCCTACCAAGTGACGTTTTCTCCCAGAAGCCGAAGAAGTTATGGATTCCACTAGGTCTGTGGCAGAGAGGTCACTGTATTTGTGATTCTATCCGCTCAGCCAAATAAGAGAGACACTGGAAGGTAAAACATTTTTCTGTCCTAGTTTAAGTAATATTTACAAATAATTTACCGAATCTGTTTTCGATGATTTAAGAAATGCGATTTTGAAATAGACGCTGCCCTTGAATAACTCGGTGCCGCTACTGAAAAAAAGCCGCATCGGAAACGCTAAAAATTTAATAAACACGGCGGCGTTTAATTGAGTGAATACGGTACAGTCGAATCTCCACTAACGACCACCTCTATACACCGGCCACTTTTTTTGTCCCGGCAGACAGTCCATACACTGACTCTTGTTTAGGCTTCTCTACAACGGCCGCCTCTACAACGGCAACGGCCTCTAAAGCGTGTCGCTTACTGCCAAAATAACCTCTCCAAAACGGCCAGTTTTTTCAGTAACTAAAAAGAACGCCAAGAATGGTCATCAAATTTGATCCGTAAGGCGCGCTGATGATTAATCGCGGCAATCGTATTTTGATTGTGTTCAATTTATACTGCTAAAGTTAGAATAAATTGTCTACTATATAACAATACTTGTCTTGTTTCAAAACATTATTCAAGTTTTTTTGTATGTGTATCTTATTTTTCTATATATCTTTTTATGATTTAATTAACATTATGGGATACAGTAAGCTAGACGAATTTGTCATATGACGTCACCCCTACCTCACCACAACAGCCACCTCTCCACAACAACTGCACTTTCTTCTGTCCCCAAGGCGTTGTAGGGAGTTTCGACTATTTTCATTGCGTTAACAATTGCACCTAAAAATGTAGGTCACGTGACTGTAATCATTTCCAAGATGCCAAAATTCCGTTCTATCTCGTCTGATAAAGAAGAACTTATTTTTTTTTTATTTTCTTTTAGTTCTGGAGATAAGGCTTACTTTGAGCGGAAAACTGCCTCACCCTTAGAGGCCAATGGTAACTACGAGAAGGAAGCTGATACCCGGCGTGGACAATCGGAAGGCTAAAGAGCCATAAATAGCGGTAACTCGTACCATTGCTGTGCACAAACATTAATATTCGGCAATCGGTAAACACTTTTTAGACGCCACAATAAAAAACAAAAAAATCTTCCCAATGAGAGCCAATTTCGCTTTTTAGGAATGGCCACGAAAAATTTGATTGCGGTATGGTAATGTATGATAATGAGTTAAAAACATAAAGAAATTTAATTTAAACCAAGTATAATATTGAACCACGGGAACTCCGTCAGTGCTGAACTCTTTGTTTAACTTGCAACGTATTCTTATATGTTACTTTTCTTTTTACTCATCTAATTGTTTTTCTTGTATAATTTATAGAACCCGTAAATGCTTTTTTACATGATAATTTCATCCTAGAACGTCGAAACGTCGTCATTTAAAAAGTTGAACTTTTTGAGACATTTCTGAAAATGATTTTAAGTAATATTTTCTCGCAGTTGCTTATAGTAAAGTGTTAAGAAAATTGCTCCTTTTTAATTCTTTAAATAAGAGGAAAAAATTAACTTAGGAATGTGACGAAAGTGAAGCGGAAAGTGCTCAATGACAACCCAATTTTACGAAACAAAATAAACTGAGAACTCGTAGGAAAACAATTATATGTACTCTCATGATCAACAACGATAACTTCAAAAGACACAGCATTTGTTCAGCTAATTCTCCTTTATTTGCACACACACACATTTCTTTTGCCATGACAACCAGAAATCAAAATGAAGTACTAACTTAAATATACCCCGTATCATCTGGTTACATTTACTTTTTTTTGTTTGTCTATTTCTTCAAAGTTTCTAGAGCTTTTCATTTAACCTTTCCGTAACAGCTTTAGTGAATCTAAAACAAAGAAAAACTATGAGTCATTGAGCTGCTGCTTTAGTTACGGCTGTGGGGGAGCCACCTCTTCTATGTTGATCTTGGAGACTGAGTTCCAGCCTGTATACGCGTCGCCAAGTTTGGTACCACTAGGGCACTTACCGATCCAGAATCCCACGCGGACCGTGCCCTTACGGAGCTTCTCGCAGATTCCTTCGATGTGACGTGGGCGATGTGGATTCTTTTTCCAGCTAGTGCCATGTCTCAAATAAAATAAACCATCAATGGCTGCCGGAACCGAGCATTCTGCACCATTGAAGGTAAAGTACCACCGATTGCAGCAGTCGTGGCAGTTAGCGACACGGAAGTCGCCATTCCAGAAGACACGCAAGGCTGTATTGTCGGATGTTTTCTTGAAAATACATTCCTATGGAATGATTAAAATAACGCTTAAATTGAAAATTGTTATAATGGCCTAAACGCCTCGTGAAGCTTTGTAGCGTTTATCTTATTCTTTCTCTTTTCTTTCTTTCTTTTTTTTATCTAGCAATGCTTTAAAAAGCATATAGCTTTTAATCTATGGTTATATGTCGGTCCTATCAATATTTATTACATTTTAATTACTACCTGAAATAGTTTTAAAGAAATTTTAGACCCGAGTAATAATAACATTTAAGAAAATGTAAGATTAGGGATGACTTAAAAAAGTGTTGGGTTGAATCTTAGGTTATTGAATGGGTCGTACGTTTAGGGTCAAGACTTCACTTTCCCCAGTATTAATCATATTTATCCGTGTTTATTTGTAGGATTGTACGAAATCCTGTCGGGATAATTCACATCCATATTCGAAGATAAAAAGCACAACATTAAGTGGCATAAATCTATTAAGAGTTAAGTGTTTACCTTGATCAAACCAGTGTCTCTGTCGTCATTTATACTCTTAAATACACACTGTTTCCAGTTACTTCGCAAGGAACTTGCAGAACCAGGAGTTCCCTGTCGACCTTGGATGCCACGAGCTCCTGGTTCACCTTTGCTTCCTGCTTGACCCGCCGGTCCCGAGGGTCCTGTGTCTCCTTTGTTTCCTGTAAGACCCTTTGTTCCTTTAGGTCCTTGTTTACCTGATGGTCCTGCAGGTCCAGGGCGTCCAGGGATGCCCGGTTCACCTTTGCTTCCTGGTAAACCCGTCGAACCCGAGGGTCCTGTATCTCCTTTAGGTCCCTGCTTTCCACGAGATCCTTTATCACCTATGTTTCCTCTTGGGCCCGTGGGTCCTTCAGGTCCACGATTGCCGGGTGATCCCGCGGGTCCAGGGTGTCCTGGAATCCCCGGAATTCCTGGTGCGGAGTAGCAAGCACTATGACCACATGACCCAAATGATGTCTGTTGGGTACACTATTGTCAATGAGCATAAACGCATTAGTTGATCAATACATCAGCAGACTAACTGCTTTGTGTAACGGAAAAAAGGAAGGCCTGATAATATTTGTTGATTTTTTTTCGTGCTATCGCTGTCACTGAGTATATCGTAACACGACGTGTTGGAGACTGTTAGTAGGATTAGAAATAATAATGGGATTCTTTCCTTCTGAGAGAAGACATTTTATATGTCCTCAGGTGAGGGCGACACAAAAGGAACCGAGGAAGACCAAGGACGAGATGGAGGGACGACTTAAATCGTTTCTTAAGACACTGGCACCGTGTCACGCAAAACGTGGTTCACTGGAGGTCAATGGGGAAGGACTACGTCCTATGACGGACATTCAACGTTAACTGCTGAAACTGAAACTGAGGGGGAAATTCACTTTAATAATACGCAAAAGTTTCTTGAGCTTTACAGCTTGCTTCACAAAACTTCATGGCCTTCTCCTCCGTTAAATTCCGCATAGGATTTTGTTGTTATAGCTAATTCACTGACTGGCAAGTGTGATGACGTAGTTCTGAGAGCCACCAATAGAGGAATTCATTTCATTTCATTCATTTCATTTATTTTCATTCATTGGATCCGCTACTGACCTAACATCCTCTAAAAGAGGAATACAGTAAACTGCTGGTACATTATAATCCCCCTCAGATGTAAGCCCTCCTAAAACAGGGGCGGATCCACGATTTTTCTTAGGAGGGGGTGCACTCGTCTCTTGCTCTAGTTCAACACCAATAAACCACATAGTTTTTTCTTTTTGCAGAATACCAGTTGTATTAGAAAACCGCAGGTCATTTCAGGGGGGCGGGGGGGTGCGCACCCCTGCTCCCTCCCCCTAGATCCGCCACTGTAAAACCCCTTACAAAGATGTATAATTCCAGGGCTTATAAGCTACAGTTTACGGTAATCAGGAAACGTGTAGATTTGATGGTTTGGTCATAGCTTGGACCAGAAGTTCGATCAGAAAAAGAAATTCAAAAATTTTGTATCGATTTGTAATATACCTCTTTCCTTGGTGTTTTGTTGCTGCTGCTGTTGCTTTTCGTGCAACAGAAAGTAATCAACAGTGCATAAATCGCGATGTACAGTAGTTGTTTCATACTGTTCTCTTTGGTTCCGTTTTATCTTGGGACCTGGAAAAAGGGATAGCATGTTAAAGTGTAAGTCACTGAGTAACACAATATCATTGATAATGCAACAAAAAAATATACAAAAAATATACAGAAATATACAAAGTTTTATTAACTCAAATGTCAAAAATAAATTAAACAAATATTTCAATTCATTATCATTTTTTACTTACTAATAAAATATTAAGATTAAAATTGATATTCGTATTCTGGCTTGTATTGAATGATTTTCATTTTAAAAATATGAAAAAGCTTGGCATTCTGAATAGTCCATCGGCCTCGTGAGTACTCGCCGGCGATTTTCTGCAAGCTTGAGCTTTAAGAAGTTTTGCCCAGCAGCATAGTGTTTTGCCCACTATTTGTAATGGAATGGGAAATAAAGAAATAAAATAATTAAAAGGAAATAAATGAGTTTCTCAGTCTTTTCCCAAGTTCAATAAAAACTGATCGAGAAATCATGCTTTGGAAAACAATCAGAAACAAAACGAATTTAGTACTAACCTTTCAGTTTTAGTGTTGCTGCAGTCTGATTCTAGGAGCTGCTGAGAGTAAAATGAATATTTCTGCTCCACCAAAGAGCTATTTATCCGTACTGAATCAACATTACACTTTCATGTTA